GGGCATTAGGTTGGGTTTAGTCTAATTTGACTACTGTCCTTATGAGAGATTAAGACACACAGAGACACAGAGATGAATGTGCACAGATGGACAGAAGAGAGGCCTCAGAGAAAACCAACTCTGCCAGCATCTTCGTCCTGGACTTCAAAATTATAAGAAAATTAATTTCTGTTGTTTAAGCCATCCAGTATGTGGTATTTTGTTATGGCAACCCTAGCAAACAATTACTCATTCATCTATGGTCAGCTGGTATCTTTCAATGAATTTTTGTTCTCCATATTTCAATTTGTTGTCTAAAATGATCACACATTCATTATAAGTTTGAGTATCTAGTACTATACCATCTTTCCTTGTTTAAATTTGTAAATGTGATATATGTCTTTTTTTCTGGCCTATCAGTTTTCCTAGTATCTGCTTTGGAGGTTCATAGATTTTCTTCAAAAGGAAAAAATAAAATAACAAAATATATGAAACTGACTCTAAATACACTGAACATCCAGCAAACAACAGTATAATCTATCTGGGCAAACAAATGATGTCATTCACATGAGTATCCCAGGTTAGCGTGAAAATAAATTTCCTGGCCCTAATACAAGGACAGTGAGCTCAAAGTACAAAAGTCATCCTGAGCTAAGGAGATATAGCTGACAGTGTGTTTGCCAAGGTGGTTAAGTCTATAAAGCAGGGTACAGGAGACAAAAAACTTCAGAGATGTAGAGAGGTCCATCCTCAAGGACCTCTACACATTTCCAAGGCTCATACTCATTCCAATCAGCTGAATGGAAAGTCTCATGATTCATGAATCATTAAGTAGGGAATACAGAATGGCTGTGTCTCAGTAGTGGGAGAGGAATTAGCCTCATTTAAGGCTAGTAGATGGAAGGGAGGGGTTAGAAGTAGTAGTAGAAGTAGCTTAGAAGGCTGGGTGTGATGGTTCACACCTGTAAACCCAGCACTTTGGGAGACTGAGGCAGAAGGACAGCTTAAGCCCAAGAGTCTGAGACCAGCTTAGGCAACATAGCAAGACCTTGTTTCTACAAAAATTGAAAAAAATTAGTCATGTAGAGTGGCTCATGCCTGTAGTCTCAGTTACCTGGGAGGCTGAGATAGAAGGATCACCTGAGCCCAAGAGATCAAGTTTGCAGGGAGCCAAGATTGTGCCACTGCAATCCAGTCTGGGTGACAGAGTGAGATCTCAACTCAAAAATAAATAAATAGGCTGGGCTTGGTGACCCAGTCTATAATCCCAGTACTTTGGGAGGCTGAGATGAGTGGATTGCCTGAGTCTGTGGGTTTGAGAACAGCCCGGGCAACTATGCGAGACCTCGTCTCTACAATAAATTGAAAAATAGTCAGGCATGGTAGCATACCTATAGTTCTGGCTACTTGGAAGGCTGAGGCGGAAGGAATGCCAGAGCCCAGCAGGTCAACGCTGGGGTGGAAGAGTGAGGCGGGAGTACTTCAGTCTGGGCAATGGAGTGAGACTATAAATTAAATAACAAACAAGCAAACAAACAAATGAACGAACAAATAAATGAATGAATAAACAAATGAATAAATGAACAAAGAAATACATGAATAAACAAGTAAATAAACAAATGAATAAATGAACAAATGAATAAACAAATAAACAAGTACACAAGTGAATAAATGAACAAATGAATAAACAAATAAATGAATAAACAAGTAAATAAGCAAATGAATAACACATGAATAAATAAAACAAAAGAATAAATGAGTAAACAAACAAATGAATACATAAAATAAGCAAAAATACAAATAAACAAAAAACAAATAAGTAAATACATAAACAAATGAATAAACAAATATAAAAACAACTTAGAATCAAGACCCCTGAAAGATCATAGTGCTTCTAAGTAACTTAACTATGTGATAGAAGAAAAAATTTAAGACCAGAGAAACACAAAAAGATCAGTACCTAAAAAGGCAAATTTCATTGTCCAATCAAAACTAAGCCATAACAGTATCAGACAAGGTAGATTTTAAAGCAAAGATTATTACCATAAATTAAGAAGACCATAATGATAATGATAAAGAGATTAATTCATTAAGTGGCTATACAATAAGAAATGTTTATTCAACTAATAAAAAGACATCAACATACATGAAGCAAATCTAATAAATTAGAGAAATAAGTAAATCCAATTTTATTTTCAGAGATGTCAACAATCCTCTTCAAATAATTGATAGAACAAAAACACAGAATGTCAATAAGGATACAGAAAACAAACATTGTCAAGCACCTTGACCTAATTAACACCTGTAGAACACTTTACCAAAAAAAACCACAATATACATTTTAAGTGAATATGTAACACTTACCAAGACAGCCCATATTCTGGGCCACAAAGCAAGTCTCAATAAATGTAAATAATTCAAGTCACAAAGTATGTACTCTGACCACAATGGAATTAAATTAGAAATTACCAGAAAAAAAAATCTCCAAATGTTTGAAAACTAAGTAACACACTTCTAAATAGAGTCATGTGTCAAAAAATAAGTTAGAAAATAAATTGAAAACACTTTAAGCTTAATTAAAATGAAAATAACATCTCAAACTAAAACAGTTCTTCAAGGACAAATTTTAGCATTAAGCACTTATCTTAGGGAAAAAAAAAAAAAAAACAACAAAGGTTCCAAATGAAGGATCTTGACTTTCATGTAAAATAGTAGTAAAAGAAGAGAAGTGAAATCCAATAAAAGCAGAAGGTAACAGTAAAGGTCAAAATAGAAAAAAAGAGAAATCAATAAAATGAAGTGCTTCAAACACTGTGAAATCAAGAAAAATAAATAAATAAAAGAAGTGCTTTACAAAGATCAATAAAATTATAAACCTGATAAACCTATAGCCAAACTAATCATGATTTAAAGAAAAATATAGGGATTACATCAAGTATAAGATAGGTGGCATCACTACAAATTCTACAGGTACTAAAATAAAAAAAAGAATATTGTGAAAAACTTGAATACTTAAATGAAATGGACAAATTCTTGGAAAGAAACCGTCAAAGCTCACTCTAAAGAGAGCAGATAGATAAATAGAAGACAGATAGAAAGATGTATATATAACTTGTATAGCCCTCTATCTACCATGGAAATTAAAACTATAGCTAGAAACTTACACAGAACAAACTCCAGACCAAGATAGCTTCCTTGGTGAATTCTACCAAACATTTAAGGAAAAAAAACCACTAATTCTTCAAAAATTCTTCCAGAAATTTAAAAAGCATGAATACTTCCAATCTATTCTGTAAAGTCAGTATTACACTGATACTAAAGCTAAATTGACATTACAGAAAATTAAAGACTAATATCCCTCATGAACACAGATGCAAAAATCTTTAAAACAAAACAAAACCCACCAAATCAAATTCAACAATACATTAAATGAATAATAAATTATGACCAAATGTGGACTATCCTAAAAATGCAAAGTTGGCTTAACATTTGAAAATCGGTGTAATTCACCACTAAAAGATTAAAAGAAGTAAATAACGAAAAAAATCACATATGATTATGGTCATCAGAGTCCAAGAAAACTCCACACAATTCCCTTTCACCTTTTAACAGGATTAGCCAAGGTTATTTATAGACTATATCAGAAATGATGGCACATCACTTTCAGCTTAAGGTAACAACAGATGCCTCTGCTTAGTTTCTGTGTGACTTCTCTCCTGGATCACTTGCTGCAAACTATTTCTCTACAATGCAATGCTCTTAGCAAAAATACAAATAAAAAGAAATGAACTACTGAAACACAAGACACCATTAATCATAAAAGAATTATGCAGAATTAAAGAAATCCAAAACAGGATACATATTACTCTCTATATTCAAAATTCCGGGAAATGCAAACAAACCTACAGTGACAGCATATCAGTGGTTGTCTGGGGATGGATGAAGGAAAGGGAGGAATTATAAAGAAAATCAGAAAACATTGGGTTTCACAGGTGTACACTATAAATACATGCAGTTTATTGCAGAAAACATTTAGACTGACAGTTCTGTGACCTTAGTCATAAGAGACACGAATATGGGAGAATTTATGTAAACTCTCATAACAAAACCTTAATAATGAAAACACGTGTGGACAGACCTTTAGAAAGATCACATTCCAAAAAGTTTGCTGTAGTTTCCCAATGCCCAATCAGTGTCACTGTACCAACTGTGATTTCTACTTGGGACTTTTAGAGGCCAGGCCAGTGATAACTGCCTTCTGAATAATAAACTTCAGGAATCTTGGTAAGTCCTAGTGAGTCAAGTTCTTGTCACCTCAAGAGGCCTGGGAAATATATCTTTTGAGAACAAAGGACCTAATTCATGTTGCTCCCACTCTAGAGACTGCCACAGGAAATGCCACTATTTAGAGTGATCTCAGTCACACAAATAATCTTGGCATATAGACAAAATTAGGTCCACAAAAACTGATGTTCTTTCCTAGTTAGTTTAAGCAGCAAGGCAAGCTAGTCTGACACTAGAATAAAAGCTTTACCATCTTATCATCACCTCTGAGACAATTAAGTTGGAGCTTTGACAAAAGCTGTTCATCCCTTCATACTGGTTTAGCTCAACTGTTATCAACCATACCCATAAAGTAAGTAACATTCCCAAGATGAAAGGAAGTCTAAAAATTAAGGCATCCATTGCAAAACCGGAACAGTAAGAAGCAGTCCATTTCAGGTTAGATGTCTTGAAAGCAGTACAAATCCATCACAAGTGCCATATGAGATCAATAATGTCCACGAAGAAGGGAAACCTTTGCAAGTACCCTGCAAAGCAAAGCTCCCATCTTTCTGGCTAAAACTGAGTAATGCTCATGCTTAACCCAGTCAGGGGGCAGGAAGAAGTGAGAATCCTCAGTGGCCTCATGCTACCAATGATTCACTCTAGGAAAGGGAGGAGTACAGAGGTCTGCCTTTTGAAGCACATTGGGGTGTGACTTTTGCAGAATGCAGGACTCTGCCAGTGCAAAGATAGATGGCTTCTGTCAGAGTCAGTGGCAGTGATATAATTCCGGCAAGGGTCCTGGGCAGGTTAGAAAATGCAGCATAGCTCCAGAAACGTTCCCTCGTAGCTGGCACACAGAAGAATCTCACCAGGGTGATTGATTGAATGTGTCAAGCTCAACTTCTGGCTGTTGACTGCACACAAATGTTACTCTTAGAGATTCTTGCTGGTATCAGTTATGTTGAACAAGGAGATGGCATATTTCCCATCCTAAGGCCTTTCTCCAGTGTGAATTTTCCAATGGCGGATGAGGGAAGCCCTTTGCCTGAAGGCTTTCCCACATTCACTGCACTTATATGGCCTTTCTCCAGTGTGAATCCTATGGTGTTGAACGAGCACATGTTTGTGGCTAAAGGCTTTTCCACATTCACTGCACACATAAGGCTTTTCACCATTGTGAACCCTTTGGTGTGCAATAAGGTCAGAGCTTTGGCTAAAGAACTTCCCACATGCAATGCACTCATAAGGTCTCGCCCCAGTATGAACACTCCAATGTTTAATTAGTCTGTATTTGTGACCAAAGTACTTCCCACATTCACTGCACTCATAAGGTCTTTCTCCAGTATGGATACTCTCATGTTGAACAAGTGTGGATTTGTGGCTGTAGGCTTTCCCACATTCATTGCACTTGTAAGGCCTTGCCCCAGTGTGTACTCTCTGGTGTACAATGAGGTTAGAACTATGATTAAAAACTTTCCCACATACGCCACATTCATAAGGCATTTCTCCAGTGTGGATTCTCTGGTGCTGAGCAAGTATGGGTTTGCGACTAAAGGTTTTCCCACATTCACCACACTCATAAGGCCTTTCTCCAGTGTGGACTCTCTGGTGCTGAACAAGTGAGTCTTTGCGGCTGAAGGCTTTTCCACATTCACTGCATTTGTAACGCCTTTTTCCATTGTGAAAGGCTTCCTCACACTCAGTGTTACTGGGTGGGTTCCACTCACTGTGAGGTGCATCACGCTTAAAAACGCTTGAGCTGGTTGAAAAGTCCTTACAACCTTTCCCTGATATAAAAGATATCTCTGACAGGTGGACAGGGTAGCTGTTCATAAGAAAGACCTTGCCCTCATCCCTTCTTAAGGGTTTCTCTCCACTGTGCTGCTTCTGGTGCTGGTGAAGGTTTGCACTAAACCAGAATTGTTTCCCACACACCAGACATATGTATGGTTTCTGCCCAGGGTGTGTTCCCTGGTGCTCAGCCAAGTGCAAAATGTCTTTTAAGACCAGGCCACATGTCCCACAGGGATGAGCCTTCTGGGTAGAAGGGCTTCCCTTATGAGTCCAGATCTGTGACACACCTTCTACAGAAATGCTCTGTTCAAAAGGTATCTCCTCATCCTCCATTCCATGCCAACAACCTGAAAGCAGAGAAATGCTGGTGAAGTACAAATTGAAACATGTGGGAGGGGAGCAGCTTCATTACAAATACGTGTCTAAGACTACTATGATCAAGGTCATAGAACTGCCATTAGGACAACGGGCTCAAGCTCACATTCAGTAAATGTCTGATATACAGTAGTTGGCATCTAAAGATCATAGAATGGAGGAGACTCTGACCTGGGAAAATACACAAATATGGGTAACAGCACAGGGAAAAGATGCGGATTTCCAATAAAGTCTTTCACAATTGTATTCCTTGGTAGCTGGGGACAGGTGAGAGTTGTGCAGAAAGTATGTACATGCCAAAGAAAATCAAACTGCTATTGAGTAACTGGTGTTTAAGGATTAATTGGGCTATGTATACATCTCATGAAACATGAAGTATAGGCCAGTGTTGGAGAACACAATAGAGGGATCAATGGAGAGAAACAGGTGAGATGTGGAGGCAAAGGTATGGAACAGTCAGAGGCCAAAAGTTCTGCATAAGAGGCAAGTGTGTAAATGGGAAAGTAGCTATAAATGAAATGTGGTCAGTGGTCTTGGCACTAAAATGATTGTGGGCACAGGGATGTTATTCCTGACACAAGCAGGTCGCAAGAAGGGTCACGTAGAAGAAAGGGACAGAATCTGGGGCACAGAGATGTGATGGGTATGGACAGAGACATCCAGTCAAGGAAAGGACAAAATGGTTATGATCCACTGGGCTGACAGTAAGATGCTTGACTACTGGATCCATTCCTGAAAGTCTTTGGGAAAATAGGTGCTGGGGATGCTTAGCAGTATGAGGCAGAGTGCACACAGCCCAAGCCCAACATCTAGGACACCTTCTCCAAAAACTAGGGAAGAAGGTTGTATCTAGCTCTGATGTAGGAAGGACAGGGCTGCACTGGGAAAAGGGAGACAGACATGGTCCAGTCCAGGGCACTGGGATGGGTGTGATGGTCTTACCCAGAGAGGCCATAAGTGCAAAGTTCTCCAGCATCACATCACGGTACAGGAGCCTCTGAGCCTCATCAAGGAGCACCCACTCCTCCTGGGAGAAGTACACGAACACGTCCTCAAAGTTCACCTGCCCCTGCCACAATGGGGAGAGCCAAGTCCATGAACAGTCTCTCTCCCAAAGATCCCCATTCATGCCCCCACACATCTCCCTTCTGTATAACCTCCTACCTAACTCCCCAAGTCAGAGGGAATACAAAGACCAGGTGCCACTGGTGTTTTCTCTTTCCTCATGGTTTCACTGATCACTAGATCTACCCATAATAACCACAGACAGGTGGGCAGGAAGTCACCATCTTGGCTCTGAGACCGGCATGCAGGATCCCACTCTCCTGCCAGCTAATTCCTCTGGGGTCACTAAGATCATGCTTACCAGACAACCAAAGTTGGGTTAATCATTCTTCCTTAAGCCCAGAGGCCATCAGTCTATACTTCATTTCCACTTCTTGGATCAACTCTTTCTCACAATTCTGATGCTCCACCTAGTCAAAGGCTTCTACCACTGCCTTCCTGGCTCACTAACTGCACCAACACTGTGATGTGAACATTCTCCCTCCTAAACCTCAATCTATACAATCATCTTTTGTGCCATTTCAGGACTGACTTCTGCCCCTGGTCTTGGCTCCCACCATACATACAGGTAGAGACCTGCAGTTTCTTGAAAATGCTCATCTCAGTCTCACCTCCAAATATCTGCACGGGCTGGTTCCTGTGCCCGGAACAACATTCCAACCTTATTCCAATGGTTGCCAGAAACGGAAACCCTGCCACATAACCCCTGTTCTGGACTCAGAACCTTGTGCTTGGAGTTTCTCCAGAGTCCTCAGACCCAAGAGATCTGAGAGTAGCAGGAAAGTGTTCTATATGACGCCACAATCCTGGAGACAGTGTAGGGTGGGAGTGGAATCGGTGAGAGCATGGACATTCTCCCCTCACCTGTATAGGGTCCATAATTACTTCTGAATTCATGGGAACCTGTGGGAAGAGGAAGACTGTGAGAGACTAGCAACCTCAAAGGAACCTCAAAGGCTCAGACATATCCTATATTTCTGCCCTGTTACATAGTAACCTGGGACTGGCTGTCTACCCTTTGTGCCATAGTCTTCATGGCTACCTCTCAAGCCCTTTATCTCAGTCTATTCTCAATGTTACTGTGCTTACCCATCTTCATCATCTCCCCATTTCCATGTTCAACTCAAGTCTATTCTCCCCTGAGCAGCCAACAGAATACTTTTTAAACCCTCAGATTATGTCTTTCCCCTGTTCAGAACCTTCCAGGCTCCCATCACCCTCAAAATAGAGGCCCAGCTGTTCAGGCCGATATTCCAGGTGTGACCACTTCTCACACACTCTGATCCTTTCAGACACCAAAGACCCAGTTTTCCCAAATGCTCCAGCTGTGTTGCACCTCCAGGCTTTTGCACATGCTAGTCCCTGTGTCCTTCCACAACTCATCGTACTCTCTGTCAGAAATGGAACCCAAACATGAGCGCCCCCACTGTCGAGGACACACGGCCCAGGGCTGCAGTAACCCGAGGTGCCCTCCACTAAAAGTTTCAGGACTCAGAGATGGGGGTTAGAGCGAGGACGCGGGGAAGCAGGACCCACCTGCGACGGGCCCATCAGCGCGGCCAACGCCATCGGGCCTGCGGACTACGGAAGAGGGTGCGACAAGGACGGGAACCAGGGATCCGCCGTCCAGGGCCCAGCCCAGAGGCCAGGTCACTCGGGCAGCACCACTGCCGAGCCTCAGGCTCGTCTCTCTTCAGGAAGACAACGCTTTTATCACGTTTCCCCTTTGCCGTCACCTGGGGTCTGACACTGCCATCCCCAGGCTAAGTAGGTGGATTAACCGAAAAGAAAACAAAATGTCCGCCCGCGGAGGGGACAGGAAGTCCCGCCCGACCTTTTCCGCAATACGGAACGCCCCTTTCCTGGGTTTTCATCTGTCCAGAGCCGCCCAGGCTTCTGGGTAATGTAGTTTCCACAGCACTACCACAGTGAGGGGCGTCCCGCGCGAACCCCAGGTCAAAGGCCCAGAAACTTCGCCAGCGATTGCCAGGAAATGGCGTCTAGAGTCTCTGAGGCCTAGGCAAAGCTTCGCTTCCTCTTAAAGGAGCCGCATCTATATTCTTGGTGAGTGCAGTCCGTAACATCACATAATTTTTATTTTTAAAATTTTATTATAAAGATGTGAGGTGCAAGTCAGGACTACGTCCATAAGTAGTCTACGTGCAGGTGAAGTTTGGGCCTCCTGCTGGTCCTCACTTCCCCAGGTTCAGGATCAGGTACCCTTAGTGATGTTATGTGCACCCACCCCCTCCCTTGGCAGTCTCCCGCTACTGCCAGGACTACTACTACTGAATAAGAAAGTCTGAAATAATATGCCTTTAAATACTATTCTCTTGTAGTATTGTGATAAATGTTCAGGATCCACTCATGTGTGAGAATATGTGGTATTCAGTTCTTTGTTTCTGTGATAGGTCACTGGGTATGATGGACTCTAAATCCACCCAATTTGTTGCAGAGTTCATAATTTTGTCCTTCTTTATGACTGTGCAATGTGCCATACTGTATATGTACCACATTTTCTTTATCCAGTCCACTATTGATGGGCTGCAGAGTTGGTTCCATGTTTTTGCTATTGTGAATAGTGCTGCAATAAACATGCATGTGCAAGTATCTTTTTTGCAGAATGATTTGAGTTCCTCTGGGTATATTCCCAGAAGGGGATTGCTGGGTTGTCTGGAAGATCAATTGCTAGTTCTTTTAAGAATTGTGTGGGAGACTGAGGTGAGTGGATTGCTTGAACCTGCAGGTTCAAGACCAGCCCAGGCAACTTGGAGAGACCTCTTCTCTCCAATAAATCAAAAATTAGCCAGGTGTGGTAGTGCATGCCTGTAGTTCTGGCTATTTGGAAGGCTGAAGTGGAAGGATGGCAGGAGTCCAGTAGGTTGACACTGGGGTGACCATGAATGTGCCGCTGCACTCCAGCCTGGGTGACAGAGTGAGACTCCAACTCAAGGAAAAAAAAGAATTGCCACACTGTTTTCCATAGAGGTTGAAATAGTTTACATTCCCACCAATAGTGTAGAAGTATTCCCTTTACTCTGCAGGCTTTCTTACACAGAGAATGCTCATCAAAAAATAAAATGGACACATCATACAGTAAAGTCACTTAGGCTTCTATAGCTGGAAGTTAATAAATGTGTTGTTCTCAATTACATATTACATATAGCCTGAAGCTCTAGAGTTATTCTGGTGAGCTTCCGCACTTTGGGCCAGACACAGAAAAGACTCAAAACACTGCCACAATGTGGAACATGGAGTATGTTTGGCAGTCCTGAAGCAAGTATCTCTGATTATCTCAAAATATATTTAGTTTATACAGTAAGTGATTGTGTCAACCCTAGAGAGAATCACTGTTTTTCAAGATATCAAGATATCTCCATACTCTGTACACAGAGATGTATTTATTATCTTTTCAGTATCTTACAAGTATCTGAAAAGACAGTTCACCAAATGTCCTTTGGCAATGAAAAGACACTTGTGCAGAAGAAATAACCACCAAGCTAAATTTATATACACAGCAAACATGTATTTTAAGAAAGTGTAGCCGGGCTTGGTGGCTCAGCCTGTAATCCCGCGCTTTGAGAGGCTGAGGTGAGTGGATTGCCTGAGCCCATGGGTTCGAGACCCCCCTGGGCAACTTGACGAGACCTCATCTCTACCATAAATCAAAAAATTAGTCGGGCGTGGTAGTGTGCACCTGTAGTTCCAGTTACTTGGAAGGCTGAGGCGGAAGGATTGCCGGAGCCCAGCAGGTCAAGGCTGCGGTGGCCAGGAGCAGCCACTGCACTCCAGTCTGGGCGATAGAGTGAGACTCAAAGAAAAAAAAAAAAGAAAGTGTGAAATAAAACTATTTGAGACCAAAAATGAGAAATGTAATTGAAGTATATTTAAAAAATAATACTCAAGACCAAAGAAAGTTGATCTCAGGTGAAAGATCTGCAATGAGAGAAGGAATAAGAATGGAGAGAGATGCATCTTTTGATTAAAGAACAGTTTGTCACTGTTTATAATATGAATATATCCCTTATGGAGTTAGAATGATGGAATTCCCATAAATAACCTCTGTAACATATAAATTAAAAGGAAGCTAATTGCTCAATATTTTAAGTCTTTCCTATTTTCAAACAGAAAGTAAATGCATTTACAACCCTATACAGTACTCTAATATATTAAATGTTTGTAATTTTTTATCTTAAATATTATACATAAATCAGTACATATACTTTTAAAATTAGAAGAGGAAAAATTTGAAATATAAATAAATAGCAGAAAGCTAAAATAATAGCAAAAAAATGAAATAAGTGAGGCAAAGAAAAGCACAATGTGGGATATATTTAAACTGTCAACTTAAATAACAAGGATTCTCCAAAGATATTGAGTTTGTGCAGGAATGCACAGGAGATTTGAAAATCTCGAATATGACAGCTATGGGAACCATAGGCATATCCAAAATGTAAGGTAAGGGGAAGCTTTTACAGGCAAAAGTACACTTAATTTGTTTTGAGACAAACAGAACATTCGTTACAGAATTTTATGTCAAAAGGTAATGCCAGTTCATTAGTGGAGACAGTGTGTCAGGCAAGTGTTCTGGTAGCTATCCTAAATGACTTATGTAGCAAGAAGCAGTTTGAGAAGTTCTTGGCAAAAGTTCTTGTTACAGTCATATGTACGTTAAGAGCCTTTCAAGAAGGGTGCAGTGGCTCATGCCTATAACCCCTGCACTTTGGGAGGCCAAGGTGAGAGGACTGCTTGAGTCCAGAAGTTCAAGACTAGCCTAAGCAATATAGTGGGATCTCATCTCTACAAAAAAATAAATTAAAAAAAAAATAATGAGCTGGGCGTGGTGGCATGCACTTGTAGTCCCAACTATTCAGGAAGTTGTGGTGAGCTGTGATCATGCCACTGTACACCAGCCTGGGCACCAGAGTGAGACCCTGACTCACAAAATAAAAAATAAAAATAAAAAAATAAAAAATAGCATAAAAAGAGCCCTCAGAGAGTCTTAGTAATAGTTCTTATTATAGGCATGTGTGCATGAGAGTCCTCTCTTCTCACTCTCCCAGTATATATATATATATTAGCATTTAATGCAAGTGTCTTCCATTTTCATTCTATCTTTCATAAAACCTAAATGACTATGGAATAAATGCTCAAATAAGCAGTTGGTAATTTTTGATGGACCAAAACACCTTTCATAAGGGATTCTCTTTCCTTCAGTGAATTTCCACAGCAGAATTTAAATTTTAATTGAAAGCACACCTTACATTCCATGGTGATTTACTTCACTCCCTACCCTGTCAGTAAGAAAACATTCATGTTGTGGTTGGGACTGTCCAGATATTGTTTTAGAGAAGTCAAGACCTATGCTTGAAAGTTACCAGGCCCTTCAGCTAACCAAATGGGCTGAGATGTCATCAGGAAACTGCAGGTCATTAACAACTTCTGGTTAGTCAGATGGGAGAAGAATAATGATAGTGTAAAGGGTTAACATCATGAGTTATAATAATTATAATAATAATAATTGACATTTAATAATTATGTCCACGTCCCTGACATTGCATCATACATTTTGCAGACAGTATGCCCTTTTGCTTGCACAACAATCCTATGAAGTGTATTTGTCACCTAGATTAATATGAGGAATTGGAAGTTTCAAAGGGTCTGTGATTTGTCCACAATTATGGCTGCTAAGTGGCATAGTTGGGAATGGAGATTGCCCAACATGGCCTCCTACCCAGAGTCATCTATCTGGGCAAGCACAAGGCCTCTTCTATGTTACCAAAACAAGACCATAGAAAATTCAATCACCCAGGCAACGGACACAAGGATAAAGATGAGTCTTGTCTTTTCTTTGTCCAAGGAACATGATCCTCCAGTGTCAGCAATTTTCTAAATGTGTTTCCTGGATGCTGACCAAAACATTTAGACAAGAAAAGCCCAACTTGCCCATAAATACAGAAGGTCTGAGAGGAAGATAGTTATTGCCTGAGCCTCATCCCATTATCCCAACCATCCACATGTCCTGTCGCCTCTGCCTTCTAATATGTCTCAGAACATCATCTTCCATAAACTTCCAACTCTACCCCCCTTGGGTCAGTCTACCAACATTCTTTAACTACACAACACCTTCTCCCCTGTGTCTTACATCAGTACTTTCTCTGCCTTAGTTCATTCTCCACACATTGGGCAGAAGATTTTAAAGCAAATCAGGTTCTATTTGGAAGGTTTGGAATAATTAGTACATTGGTGACTAGAGGGGGGAGAGCCTTAGTGTTTTCTTTTACCTGCCTTCTAAACTTTAGCTCCAAGGTTAGTAACATGTTACCCATCTTCAGTGGTTCCACCAGGAATTTATATGTTGTCTTGGTTGTCAGACTTGCTGATACTCTCCAGCTCCTAGGATTTCTTCTGCAGTAGAGGAGTCATGAAATGCCCATGAGTCAGCCCACTTTCTGTCTTTCTCCTCTCTCTTTTATAGCAAGAACTCATGCAATTTTTGTCTAAACCCAGAAGGCCAGTAAACAGGAAATTCACAACCATGTTATAGATTAGGGGCTGTTCTTCATGAATCATTAAAACTTTTTAAGGATCTGAGCCCAATGCCCAACACAAAGAGCATAGCCATATGCCATTTATGTGAGAGTGGAATCTTGGTGCATTCAGGATAATTGCTTAATGCAAGAGGTAGGTGGATGGTGTCCAATTATGAACTCCCAAATAAAAATCTCATATAAGCGGGCTCAGTGGCTCAGCCTGTAATCCCATGCCTTTGGGAGGCTGAGGTGAGTGAATT